TATATATATATGTATATATATATATATATATATATATATATATATATATGTGTGTGTGTGTGTGTGTGATAATTATATATAGGAACATCGGCAGAATGCTTTGTTGGAAGTGGAGAAGAATATAAAACAGCAGCAGGAGTATGAGAAAGAGGTGCAATTCATGCTCAAGGCTCACCGAAAGAAAGTGATTATTATAAAATATCCTTATGATAACATATTACAACTTTACATTGATCAAATAGCATATACTATTTGTACTTTTACGATTGTTAACATTATTAAAAATTATATTAAATTGCTGTTATATTTGCAGCTTTTAGAAGACTTAGCATTACAGCAAATACAATTAGAACAAGAACTAGAGAAGGTGCAGCAGGAAAGAGACACGAATAGGGCGCGTTTACTCTCATACATTTACAATGGTACAATTATTTCTGATTATTTTCAATGAACTTTACAGGATAACAAATACGCGACTTATTAAATGGAGTTCTTTTTTAGCCGAGAAAGAAGCTGATGACGTAATCAAGGAGTTCTTAAGAAACAGTGAGGAGGAACGACTGAGTCAGGCTGAACTGTTAGAGCGAGAAAAGCAGGAGGAGATGCGTTTGTTGAGTTCGTGCCATTCGGAGCAGTTCATGTTACGTACAAAAGATACTCTTTGTGAGTATTAGACAGAATAATAAATATGTGTTGTAAGGTTGCATATGAATACACAAATAGATTTATTTCGCAGATGCAATGGAAAAGTTGCTGGAAGAAGAAATGCACAAAGCGAGAAAACTGGAGGAATATACTAAATACAAAAACTATACTGCGCAATCACTACTCACATTGTTAGTAATAATTCTTAATTTGCTCAATTTTTTATATCTAAATGCTTTTTAAGAGTGGATTAATAAAGGTAAAACATAACGTAAACTGTTTCAGAGAAGTGAGGAACAATGACTATTTGGCACAAATAGTCCAGGACCAAGAGAAAAATAGACAAGATCTTATTGATAGATTGCGGCAGGATGAAGTCCTGCAAAAAGCAGCGGTGGCAGCGCTGCTGGAACGTAGCGATGCACGTTCTTGGAGTATCGTTCAGCAAGTAAATTTAGTACAATCACAATTGGCGGCGCTCACCACCATCGAGTTAGAAAAGAAGAAACTAGAGATCAATCAGCAGCTCGTAAGTGTATATCTTTAACAATGCGTTAAATGGATATCAAAATGAATAACGAACTTAAAAAATGCCAATAACATAGAGACAATCGTCACTAATATGATCATGCTATCCTTCGATTTCTTGCATATATAGATTTTAATAAATATGTACTTGTTGACGTGGAAAGTTGATTTACTGCGTACGTTTAAAGACTGGAAAACCTATTTGGCGCGTTCGTTGATACTGTCAAACATTATTATCCTCCCAACATTCTTAAAAATATTCGTTCTAAAATCAGCGTTTGGCTCTTATTTATCTATTAACAAGTTTTAATAAGTTGTATACTTTTGAGAGTCTGTATATCATAGAAGTTTAGTATTTAGATAACTTTCAGTGTTTATGTTTATATTTCTAGTCAAAGCTTATAGATACTGTTTTTAAAATAATGCTGCAAATTTGATATTAAATATTAATAAGAGTGATATTTCTAGTAGTGCATTAAATTCGTCTTAAAATTTTCTATAATATTGTTATAATTATATTGAAAAAATTACATAGTGCTATTAAAAATATTCGACATTAACATTTTTATAAAAATATATTTTTTTATTTTTTTATTGCAATAGCTTACATAAAACAGATGAATGTTTATCTTACAACCTTTTCCTTAAACTAGAAAGTATCTTAAAAATTGTATAAACCGTTACATCCTGTATAGAAATCTTTAAAATTTTTCGTATATTAAATCTTATTAAATTTCTCGTATATTTTTAAATTTCTAAATTAATAATTTTTAAATTTCTAAATTTTTAAATTTTTAAAGTTAATTATAAAAATAAACATTAATGTTTTTTTAAATTTTCCTAAGCAAACACGTTTGGAATGTACAAGCTGCAAAATTTTTGTATTAAGCAAATATTTATGCCGACAGTTCTAGATGATAATTTTGAAATTTTGTCGTTTTCGTTAGAAAGCAATATTCCATTTTTAAAGCAATCCATTTTTTCATACACTTTTATCAGAACATTTGTAATTCTGTGCAATCAATACGATATAAACTTAACAGAAAAAAATCAATATTTTGTCAATAGTTTTCAAATATGACCGTCGTAAAATTGAATAGAAAATTGCTATTTTTATAGAAAGTAATATTTATCAAATATTCTGTTTCTGTTTTTTCTTTGTAGAATGAGATCGCCGACCGACGTGTAGCTTTAACTGCTATTCTGGTGGATTTGTTGGAACAGCAAAAAGCTAGAAGAGATCAGCTGTTAGATACGATAAATACGATAGAGCAACAACGATGCATCTCTGTAATTGATCTCTTTTTTCTTTTTGAAGTTCTTTTGATAAACGATGAAAAATAATGAATTGCGAAATATTAATAGAATGCCAGACGCGGCAGTTTATTCTGGCTAATGCAGTATCAATCCTTAATGGAGGCGCGACCACAAGGACTGTTGGAAATGTTGGAACCTATGTTGGTTCGACATGTCGCGATAGCGGGAGCATTGCACTGCCTTCCGTTCTTAGCTGCATTGCCATCCTTGCTACCGGATATCAACAGCGAGCAATTAAAAGATGTATGCGATTCTTCGTCTTACAAAATCGATAGAACATTAATGAAATTACTTAAAAGAATTTTACAAAGTATCTCTTATATATAAAAAGTTTATATTGTATATAAATCTTGCATTTTGTATATAAAAATTTCGTATACACAATATTTTTCATTAATTTTAATTGTAATTATCTTGCAATTTGTACGCTTTATTCGTTTTATAGATGGGTATAAGTTGCGAAAAGGACTGTGCCGCTATAATGCTAGCGGTCGAGAATTACTTAGCGGAGGTGAAACTGAATGAATCTGCTCCATCACCTATAATGCCTTCTGCACCACTCGAGGAGGCTTCAACTAGTAGTCAGGACTATAATTTTATTCAGAGCATTAATATGACGGAATGTGTTATTTGTCTCGATTCACAAGTGAGTAAAATCTTTATCTACATTTATTAAAAATATTGTTTTGATTCTTCCTTCGTGTACTCAAGCTTTCAATACATTATATGATCATGTCATGTCAGTCATTCAACTGAAATTTCATTGTGATGTTTATTTTATTTTATTTTATTTAAAAGATAACAGAATGGCTATTTATAATTTCATATCTTCTACATAGGTATTTTGAATGTACAGAATATCTGATGGTAAGTACGGTATCTGTCGTGTACTTGTAGATTAGAATCAAACTGAACAAGAAAGTCCTTTATTAATTTGGAAAGAACCACATATAATTTTGTTATTAATTAAAGAAGATTGATGAATGATCGTGTGTTTCAGTTTCGCGTGTTTTATCTACTACACCGTGCACGATTATTCACCAATTTTCTTTAATTAACCCCTTAATCTAAGTGACAAAAAATGCTTTTACAAAAGAGCTAAGATTATAAAAAGTTTACTTTCTTCAAATGATTGATATTGAATCTGAATGCAAAATGATCAAAATTCAAAATGGCAGGCCAAAGATCTTATACGAATCGTCCGATTCGTATAAAAGTTTGTATTGATGGTTGCATTGTACTGTTTCTCGAAGCCGCTGTTTTCGAATTTAAAATTAAAATTTGTGATTGAAAAAATAACGAATCCAATATAATGCAAAAAATGTTAAATAATTAATTTTTTAAATTAATTTTTATGCAAACTGAACTATATTTTGAATTTTTTGCCCATCATATTAAATTTACCATTTTGAATTTGTATTTTAAGTTTAAAATTATTCGATTTAAAAAATTCTTCAATTCCAATTTTAGGCAAATCACACGATTTTTAAAATTTCTGATCTGTCATATTACATTCGCCACTTTAAATTTTGCAATTTTTGACTTCAGACTTGAAATCAGCGATCTTAAAAACATAAAAATATAATATCCTGTTTTAATTGCTTCGAGATAAGTTTTTTTTTTTGCATTTTTAGCCAGTTTTATCTTTACGAACTTTTTATAATCTTATTAGCTCTTTTGTAAAAGAATTTTTTGTCACTTAGATTAAGGGGTTAATTAAAGAAAATTGGTGAATAATCGTACACGGTGTAGTAGATAAAACACGCGAAACTGAAACATGCGATCATTTATCAATATTCTTTAATTAATAACTTAAAATTGTACGTGGTTCTTTCCAAATTGATAAAGGACTCTTTCTTGTTCAGTTTGATTCGTCATTGATAGTCATGGTATTAAGATTCTTGGATATTCACTATCTTTTTTAATAATGTCAAAAACAAGGAAACGCATGCTAATATTTTTTGCGAAATATATTAAAATAAAAAAATATATTTATAAAGTGACGCAATCGATCGAGCAAATTTATAAAATAATCCGAACATTTCTTTTTTACTCTAATAACACAGGTCTGCAAAATTTCAAAAGCTTAATGCATTTTGGAATTGAATTTATTATTTCCTAATTTTGTCCGTTGAATACGAATCCAGCCTTAAAATTTCTCTATCAAGTTTTGAAGATAATTAAGTATCTATTAAGTTTTCAAGATAATTAGGTTTAAATCGCCAAAAAATGCCGATTTTCACTATATTTGATTATTGCTAACAAAATAATTATTTCTAAACAAATTCGCAAACGGCATCTTAATATATTATTCTTCTCCTCTAAAGTCATATTAGATTTTTTATTTTACGATTATTTTTTATGGAAATATTTAAGTTTATTGATATTGAAGTCTATAAGACTCAAAGCACATTATAGACATTATGTAACATGTCTATTTCTCTAGCATGTCTTTAATTGATAAATTTATTATTATGAAAACTATGAAAAATTAAAATCAATAAAATGAAAGAAAATAAAGTACTTCATAGTGCACAGTGAGAAAAAATGAAAGCACAAAAATAGGATTCTTTAGAAGTTATTTTTATAATACTATGTACCAACTAAACATTAATGTTTATATGGTGAAAATTTTCTAGAAAATTTTACTGTCATTTTTTTAATCAAACTTCCAATGTTTTTACATTGAATTTGCGGATAATAATTATTATTATAATTTTCACCATGTGAACAATAATGTTTAATTGGTATATAGTATTATAAAAATAATATCTAAAGAATTCTATCTTTGTGCTTTCATTTTTTTCTCACTATGTACTATAAAGTACTATATTTTCTTTCATTTTATTGGTTTTAATTTTTCATAGTTTTCATAATAATAAATTTATCAATTAAAGTCACGCTAAAGAAATAGACTCACATAATGAGTCTCATGCTTTCAATCTCATAGACTTCAATATCAATAAACTTCAATATCTCCGTCAAAAATAAACGTAAAATAAAAAATTTTATATGATTTTAAAGGGAAAGAATAGTACATTAAGATGCTGTTTGCGAATTTATTTAAAAAAAAATTACTCTGTAGCAATAATCAGTTGAATATAGTCAAAATAGACATTTTTTGGTCATTTAAACCTAATTATCTCGAAAACCTGACGTGATAGAAAAATTCTAAGGCCGGATTCGTATTCAGCGGACAAAATTAAGTAGGAAATGACCTTTGAAATCCAAAATGCAAAATCATGCAGACTTATGTAATCACTAATTTATCGTAAATAAATGTGATAAAATTATGCGAAGAGATAAAAGTTAAAAAGATATCGTCTGTCACATACGACAATCAACGGCAAATTATTTTGTTGGCAAATTGTTACAGCCAAAGGAAAATGTTCGAATTATTTTACAGATTTGCTCGATTGATTGGAAGTGTTACGGATATATCTTTTCATTTCAATATATTTCACAAGAATTTTTAGCATGCATTTCCTAGCTTTTGATGTCATTAAAAAGACCGAAATGGACAATGTGATTATTCAGAAGCCTTATCTCTTTGAAGCACCGAAGAACCTATTGAATGAATTTTTTTGAATGTCGGTACACAAGGGTTTTTAGGAACGCTGATTACGAATCTGGAATCAAAATTTCAAAATTCAAAATGGCGGATCCAATATGGCGAACAAATAAAAGAATTTTTAGATTTATTAGAAACTTGATATACAGGGTTTTTGGGGTCGCTAATTACAAAGCTGAAGTCAAAATTCAAAATGGATCTAATGTGGCGAAAAATTTTTCAAAAATTTATATGTATAGGCTCGAATTTCTTGAAATTCCTTTGAAAGATTTTTTGGAGTACCTACCTAGATATATGGTTAGACAAATTTTTACTATACCTTACATAGACTTTTTTTAACAATTTTCATTACGCCACTCATATTGCACTTTTTCAACATTACAGTCCGCTATTTTGAACACAAGATGTAAAAATTTCCAATTTCTAACTTCAAATTTGAATTCAGCGCATTAAATTATTTATAGGATATAATTTTCAGAGCACTAAAAGCATATTTTTTTTATATTTTAATCGAATATATCCGCAGTAATTCTGAATACCGTAGTGCTTCAAAGGATTAAGATAATTGTATCATGAAACAAATTTCGTGGGAATTAGATAAAACTTGCACTACATAATGGTAAAATATTATCTAATTGCTCGTATAATTAGAAAAAAAATTGATCATTTGAAAGCTAAAATATTTGCAACTGATGTTGACACTTTTTATACGTATTTCCTGAGAGGCTAGCATGTTTTCTTAATTTCTATTTTTAATATCTTTCAAATTACATGTGAAATCTTGATGAAAGATTACTATGATATAAAAAAACTAATATACAGACACAAATTTTAGAATTTGAATTTAAAATTATTGACCATTCTAAATACAAATTTTAGAATTTGTATTTAGAATTATTAACCATTTTAATTTAAAAATACAGTGATGAAAAGTTTATAATTTATTATTCGAAATGGACACACACGCACACACACACACATACACATATATGTGTGTATCAACTGATGCATAAATAAAATATTAATAAAGAAAATAAAAAATAATATTTTTATATTTATAATATTGTGTATATATATTTATCTCAATTTTATTCCAAATTAATAGTGATAGTGAAATAAATGAATAAAAACATAATTTTGCTCGGTAAGTAGTAAATTAATGTCTTGATGCGCCACTGAAAATACGACATTTAACAATACAACTATCTTAATAATTTCAAATTTCACGTGATTGTTTGCAAAGTGACTGAAGACTTAAATAAATAAAATCTAATCTAAATGCACATATCATATTTGTCGTCATCATATCCTGCATATTTTCTGTCATTACTTAAAATTTGTATCAATCAGAAACTTTAGCAATTTTTGTCTTTTGTTTTTACAGTGCGAAGTGATTTTTCTACCTTGTGGACATCTCTGCTGTTGTTCTACGTGTGCAGATAAGATCCTCGCCGAGTGTCCGATGTGCAGAAGCCCTATCGAACGTAAAGTTCGTGTTGTGCAACCTTGAATTCGCGAGAAGCGAATAACGTATTGTTCGACTTATTCGACGAATGATTCCTCTCCGTAATCGCATAAAAATATTTCTTCCTAATCTGTGATTACACATATAATACACATATACACACACCTATGATGAACCGATTATTTCCATAATAGTGGAAAGTATAACGCGCACAACCAGTTATATTTACCACTGCATGGTAATGTGACGTTCGTGTAAAGCATACCATAGAAGGAGGAAGGCATACTAGCGGCGGGACGCCATGCGTTCGAGATCTGCGTATCTTTTCGTTCCAGAGGGAGAAAAATATCGAAAGCGCGGTTCTGCTAGGCCGGGACTCGAACCCGGGTCTTTCGCTTGCCGGGCAACTGCTCTAAACCACTGAGCTACCTGACGCTCCACGCTCACGACATTTATCGTTTTATGACACAAAAACAAATTGTTTTTCCTTGACTAGTTTTATATCGATTTTTTCTATCTTAGCAAAAACATTAATTCAAATAGTCAAACCACGAATATACTCGAATGTCTTTTTACACATGCACTTTAACTCGTTTAGACGAGTCTTAGACGATATAGACGAAATGCCATTCTAAGGCGGACCGATCAAATTTAGTGGCACTTCGCGTCCGTAATGCCCGACTACAAACAGTATACAGAGTTCACATAAATGGATTGCAAACATATCTACATAGATTGCAGAATATATAGACATACTTGAAGGACAACAGAAGGAAGCAATTGCAAGACCTGTTTGTACTTGAGCATAAAGATGTGTTACGTATAAGCTTTTATAAATAATTTATATGACGGAATTTTGATAAATAGTTATGTGAAAACACCTTCGAATTGAGCCTTACTAATAATTTAAATTTCACTTCCTGTGAAATTTGAATTTGTTTTCTCTTTTGTGTAACTCGATAATTATATCAACTGGGCGTGAACAAATTTCTTGTTGATATTAATATAATAAAAATCTCGTTTACAAATCATTCACTTGTATCCAGTCTTTAAACATTTTTAATTTAATTAATTTAGAAATGATGTAGCACACAATTATCATGTGATAAAAATATTTTAATATTCTTTTAATTCTGATAACTACATGAAAATATCTTTAAATCAAGCCTTATTGATTATTGATTTAAAAGTTACCTCTTGTAAAATTTAAATTCTAATGTTTTCCTTTTTGTATAACTTGTATGTTGGTTATATAAATTAGTCACAAATTTCTTGTAAAAATATAAAAATCTCATTTGTAAGTCATTGACTCGTATTTAATCTTTAAATAATTTTAACTAATCTAAGATGATGTGCACACAAATATTGAATCATCAAAGTATTTGAATATTCTTTGTTTATATCAATATATCAATATATGAGTTTTATTATTATCCATATATGAATACTCTGCTTTCTCAATTTCTTTTTTTAATAAATTAAGCAGCATAAAGTCATAACAAATTTAGTTCAATCATGTGCATTAGAAAACTGTAATTTCTCTTCCAGAAGTGTCCTCTTCCTCTCCTGCATCATCTTCATCTTTCTTCTGTTGCTTTTTTTTTGATGTGGCATCTTTCTTTTCTTTCTGAGCTTTCTTAAAGTTCTCTAAAGATTCTTGCAGTGGGTCAACAAACTGATCAAACTCAATGTCTGTCATTGCTTGGATCACATCTTGTCCACTGATTGTTTTACGATTTCCTTTCTTCGCTATTACATTAGCAGATGATGTGAGATATAATATAAAAATAGATGCAGCTTTCGCCACTGCTGTTCTAGCATCTTTGCCAACTGTAACTCCATCAGGCAAAGCTTCTTTTATGATTCTCGTAACCACAGCATTGGGCAAATTTAGATCTTCTAATCTTTCAGCCATTTCCTATTGTTTGTACATTCAAATCCAAACGTATACGTTGTGATATCCGTAAACTACGTAGGGAAAGATTAAATAAGAAATGAAATTATTTTTGTTATCTCAGCTTAAATCTCAGTTTAAATATGCCACAATTTATCTATCAATACCTTCAGACTTGGCAGACTAAAGTCAGGTTATGTTTTTACCGCCAGTACGGTGAAGACAGCATTTATCACAGCAAAAAATGGGCACCGTTGTTAAATGTAATGAACATCGATATGGGAGTTTTAATTAGTCAAGTTGGACGAAGAATCACTAAACTAATAAATAGCAAATTATGATAATATAGAAACTTCTTTACACAGAATACAATTGAAAGTTAACAATTTAAACGAGTGAAAATAAGTGCGATGTTTATTTGCAATCGACTCAAGAAGGCATAACTCGAAAACAGATGTCTATTGGTCTGTTCTTTTCAGCAGTGCAGCTGAAAAGAACAGACCATATATTAAATTAGAGCTGCACGTTCGTTTTGGGCATTTACGCGCTGTAAAGCCCATTCTACAATTGCGTAAGCATAGTCGTGATCGTAAGAGTCAACCAATCCGAATATTTTATTTACTGATTGCTTTATTCTGATTAGTTGTCGTAATCACATACAACCACTTACAATCACGTTCACGCAATTATAGAATGGGCTTAAGTATATAGTGCGGTTACATGGGACGGAACGTATGCGGAATGGGCGGAACGCTCGTGATTGGCTCAACCTATTTTACGTTCGTTCCGTCTAAGTCGATCCGCAAGTTTACATTCTATCCGCACGGATTGGACGGAATTACTTATAATCTATAATATATATGTTCGTAAGAGATGCAGCGGGTAACTGATAAATGTTTGAAAGAAGGAGAGTTTATACCGAAGAAGACGAAAATGCCAAATGTTCAACAGAGATCTGTAAGAATAATATTTAACATTGTTAAGAATAACAAATATTTAATCGACATCGTTTGAAAGTGTAAAATTATAATTGTTTATAGGATAAAAAATGTGGATATTGTGGATATATTCTTACACAAAACTTCAATTTGTTACAACACTCCTGCTTTCAACCATTTGATGAAGAGATTCATCCTCTACATGTGAATGAAAACCTGTTTGAGCTTTGTGATTCCGATCCGTATGAATTTCATTCCCTAATGTCACATGGAGCGGAAATCACAGAAGCGTAATTGGCATCTACCAATAATATAAACTATTCCAATAGATCCAACAGAAGGATCTATGGGAAATGTAATTGGCTAAGCGTCAATTACGTTTCCGTGATTTCCGCTCCATGTGACATAAGGGAACACATTTCAGCGAACCACATTTGACCACTTTGAATACTTGCTATTGGACAAGCTATATTCCATCAATTCCACATTGCGCATACGTTCCGTCCCGTGTGACCGCACCATCAGGGTGAAGTCTCATGGTACGTATTTTCGAGTAACGCGTAAGCGCGTAACCAATAAATTGCGACGTTTAGTACTTCTGTTGAAACTTCTAAAAGAATAGAAAGATGTGATTGGTTACGCGGTTACGCAAAAATACGTGCCATGGGACTCCACCCTCAGGGCGCCGTCTCACGGAGCGGAACGTGCGGAGTTAGCACGACCAATCACAGCCGTTCCGCTTTTCTTCCGGCGCTTTTTCTATTTTCCTTGTGTCCCATGGAGCAGAATATGCGGAAGCGGATCACGCGGAATAATACAAAAAGTAGACTTTTTAATGTTATTTCTTACGTTTTTAATAATTTTAATATTTTATACAAATGATATAATATATAATAAATTAGTAAAAAGTAAAATTAGTTTCTCAGTAAAATACTTTTTACGAAAATATGCAACTATTTTACGATTGGCTAAAAATAATTCCGCTGCCGCGTTTACCGCTTCATGGGATAGAAAAAAAAGTAAATCAGCAGAATTGCGGTGATACATTATGTAGTATAATAAAGTGAGATCTGTTGTGATTAATTATGGAGAATATATTATATCATTTTTGTCGACTGTGGCTGTTAATTAAACATATAAACATAAACATATTCACATATTATACATAATTGTTTACTACAATTATCAAAATATTAACATCTTATTACTTACGATCTCTCCACTCATCGTTTCTAAACGAAATGATAAAGAATATCGAAAAAAAAATATATATAATAAATGTATAAAAAAATGAGATATGTAATATGTTGAGGTTATCCGCGACTATCTTTATCCTTACCGCCGCAAAATTGCAGCGGTAAGATTATAGCGATACGGCACAAAAAAGAGCGGAACGGCTGTGATTGGTCGTACTAGTTCCGCGTGTTCCGTTTCGCGGAGAATTTCCACCCCATGGGACATCGGCCTCAAGATGCAAACTAGAGATGCACGATTCTTAATTGATTCGATTCTTTCCCTAATAAATTTAGAGAAAAAGGGTTGTTCGTGCTGCATGCATGTTTCATACTTTTCGCTTTTAAAAAGAGATGGACGCCTAATCAGACGTTTGGAAGAAACAATCGAGTTAGTTGTCTCGTTTTTGCTTCTTCGAAACATTCCAATATACTTCTGTCTTATTTTAAATACGAAAAGTGCGAAGAGTGCAAACAACACGAATAAGCCTATTTTTGGAGAAAGAATCGAATCGATTCAGAATCGGGCATCTCTAGTGCAAACCCATGCAGCGGAATAGCGGAGCGCAGAACAAGAGCGGAAGCAATCACGAGCGAAAACTGTGGAACGCGCGTGATTAGTTCCGTTCCGCGCTCCGCTATTCCGCTGCATGGTTTGCACCACAGACTTCTATATAACTATTATGGCTCCTGCACACAGGACGCGGTAATGCTTGCCGCGCGGCGGAAATTCGCGCGACAGCCAATCAATATGCTGCTTTCCGTAATAACTTTCTAGCTCTTACGGAAAAACAACATATTGATTGGCTGTCGCGCAGACTTCCGCCGCGCGGTAAGCATTACGGGTGTATATCAGTTGGACACGGGGCAATTGGACACAGTCTAATCACAAGTCGCTGTTCCAAGGGACCCTACAAATGTCTCTAATCACACGGTGCTGTGATTGGCTGTGTCCAAATGCACCGTGTCCAAGTGCACCGCTCCCAGCATTACCGCGTCCTGTGTGCAGGAGCCATTAGACTGTTAACTCTCTTATATAGTGCTATGTAAAATTGACTCCGAATGTATTACGTACGAGAAAAAGGCATCTGTACATGTCTAAAACTGGTGTTCCAGAAGAAGAGGGGATATAAATGTAAAGCCCATTCTACAATTGTGTGAACGTGGATGTAAGTGGTTGTAAGTGATTACGACAACCAATCAGAGTAAAGCAATCAGTGAATAAAACATTCGGATTGGTTGACTCTTACGTTCACGACTACGCTTACGCAATTGTAGAATGGGCTTAATATGGCCGATGCCGTCTGCTTAAATATTTGTGTACATACGTACAGAGTGAAAAACGTCAGAGTAAAATACGTTACAGTAAAAAATTTGTAAAAATAAGTGATTGATCAATTGTATAACTATATCAGAGTACAATAATGCCTAAAACGAGATGCTACATTGTGAATGTCGGAACACCAAATAAGCGCATACGCGAGATTTCTGTACATACTTTTCGGGGCCATGTACTGAGTCAAAGGCTGTTTACGATAATTCGAGTTGTAGTAAGTACGAGTTAGTTTTATTAGAGCCGAGAAATATGATAGGCATAAGCATCTAATATTTTCATGATTTATGACAACTCAATGCTGTCCGGTAAATCGAGTAGAGTTAGGGTAGTATAGCGGATAGTATACCCAGTAAGCAAATTGAGCGCAGACTGCACGCAGATTGGCAGCAAATTTGATAAAAAACGCACAGCAAAACCATAGCCATCTGTGTCTACATTAGGCGGTTTTGGCGACAGATCTTGCTGTCGGACTTGTCGTGCCAAATTTGCAGCAAAAACCGCGCAAAGCTTACAGCGCAGCAAGGTTTGTGCGGTTTCTGCTGCCAATCTGCAGTCAAATCGCTACAAGCTCTGCGCGGTTTTTGCTGCAAATCTGCAGCAATTATTCGACAACAAGCTCTGCCGCATATCTGGCAGCAAGATTTGATATAACAGATCCTGCATCAAATTTGTTATCTATTTGCCATCAAAAGTTGATAGCAAACTCTGCTCGAAATCTGTTCGTGCAGGTTTGGTTATCTGGGTATGTATAAGAATTAACAGTATCAGGTAACATAGTTTCGTAAAATATATAACAATAATATTACGAAATAATGATTTATTATATTTTAGAAAAATTAGAAGCACTAAATTAAATTATAAAAAGATATCATGTATTTATGAAATATTCAATAATAATGGATTAATAATAGGTTAGAATAATAGGTTAGAATAATTTCTACTTTTGAATATTGCACAAATAC